AGCCGTATGAAAGCGGGGGAATCGGCGGTTGGTGGACGTGGGTGCTCGGGAGTAACGGGATATTTGAGTAGAGGGACTAAGGGGAAATGGGACCGGTGCAGGGAATAGGCGGGGGAGAGCGCCAGGGTAGCCACGGTAGGCGCGGTGTGCTCTGAAGGATGGGGTCATGGGTTATGGTCGAAGCGTTTGTGGCAAATGCACGCCATCTCCGTCTTCGCCCCCATCCAGTCACCGAGTTTCTTCCGCGCGCGACCCAGCCGGCGATATCCTCCCCATGCCCGCTTGCAGTAAGCAGGGAAGTAGCATCGGAATCTGCGTAAAAACACACTGTAAGTATAAATCACGAAGACAGCAAAGAACGGCGGAAAGCCGATGAAAATAACACACACCCTCATCCCATAAACGACTTCCACCTCCAAGCGTTCTCGAATTTGTCTTTCCCCGGCCGCGCACGGCGTTCCTCGACGTCTCACCCCGCCCGACACGCCCCCACCGTCGACGATGTCGGAACGAAAGCGACGAGTTGGTACGATGGGGACGACCGTGCGATCGCCGCACTAGGTCAATTCCGCGTTAACGATCCTCGTACGGAATAGCGGACGGACGGAGGAAGAACGTGCATTTGAGTACCTCGCGCCTGCGTCAGCTGCGCCAACCCGCCCTTGGGCAATGCGACACGCGAGGTGGGGCCGCACGCTGAGCCGGTTCTTCTCGAGCAGACGGAAGTATGTACGGGAGTAGGGAGCCCGCCGCTCGTCGCTCGCCTCTGTAGCAGGCGCGAGAGAAAGAGGAAGTGTGGGAGCAACTGTCGCGGGCTGGAGGTCGGTGGTACCGCTCATCGGAGGAACAAGCACAAGAGACGCTGGAACGCCGGCGAAACGACGAGCGGTGTCAAAGCAGATATGGAGGAGATTCCACGACCTCGGCCGCGAGTACTGGGCCTGCTTTACCGTCAGCACGCGCGCACATGGGTATGGATAGAGTGAGGAGGACGCACCGGTCTGCACCGCGAGCTTGATCTACGCCGACAAGTCCTCAAATCAGACCTCTTTGTTCCCGCGGGTTAACGCCTCGACGCGCTCGTGCATCGTGCGCACGGGAGGGACACTTCGTAGCGGTCCACTGACATTACCAGCACCGTCGCCTGAAGCACCGTCTGAATCGTGGGATATCGGGAGCGAGTGACCCCGCGATCGGCATCGATAGTGGGCGAAGAGGGCGACAAGCACCATGGCAATGTTTGTAGATCTGGTGATGGTTTGCGGGATAACCGAGCGTATCGTACACCGCGCTTGTTAGCGTATTGAGCCCGCTTTACCGCCACGAAATCGGTCAGTACGCAGACAATGAGTGGACTGGAGAGGACGCACCTGCTGCCCCGCGAGTTACAACTACGAGCCCTCGGCCGGGCCTCCCACCCGGCCTCCCAACCGGACACCGTCGATGCCTCGACGTGCTGCTTCGCCCGCCAAAACCCGGGATTCGGGGAACGACCGGCGATCGTAGATGAGAGCATCGTGACGCACAGAAACCTCAACCTTGACGACCATGGCCTCGGCTCCCTTTGCTGTTCCACGGCAGTCAAGTACCGGTGACTGCAAGACGAGATCAGCACGGAAACAGTAAGTATAGATGGGTGCGGCATACCGCTTGTCTTGATTACAGATTACGGCTCGAAGAGCACGCCAACGACGAACCTGCTGTAGCTGCGGACTGGCGCCGGGGATGAGGCGCGAGAAGCAAGGGAGGCGGGAGCGGGCTGCCTCGAGCGTCGACGGGCCTGTAAGTGATGTCAGCTGAAGTCGAAGGAAGGGGGAGACGAAAGACAAAAGGTATAGGGCGGAAGCGCGACAGCACTGCAGAGTCGCGGCTAGGCTACAGCTAATCCCACCGTCTTCGTTCCTCGCGACCCCGGTGCTAAGATCGTAATAACGACGGAGTAGCGACGTGCGTCCGGCGTTGTACCCCATTTCCGCACCATGTTACGCGTAGCGCAGCATAATGGGAACGAGTAGCACACCGTCGTCCGGATCGGGTGCATACACAGCAATAGGAAAGCGAGTACGAGACGAAGATAAAGACGAAGAGGTAGCGCATACGTACCTAGTCATTGCAGCGCCTTCACCTGTGATGCACAGTTGCGGGTCGGGTAGAGAGCCGTCGTGGCACGTCTCACAGCTGTTTTCTTCGTCTCTTCCCTCCTCGCTGGGTGTTCGGGCCTATACACACCGACACGGATGTGCTCTCGATGTTTCGGGTCGGGTAGAGAGCCTCCAGGCGACACCGTGACGGGAAGGCAGTGAGGACGTGCGCACGGCGTCTCCCTTCCCCTCCCTCGCAGGTGTCGTATACCCAGAGCAAACCTGCGATCCTACGCGCACCGTCAGTGCCCCTCCGATCGCGAATAACGAAGAGAACGTCACCTTACAAGCGCCCTCTACCCTGCCCTCGTTAACCCACCCCGCACCGATTAAGCCACCCTCGCCAAGATATGTCGCATATCATCGTGCGAGATCCATTCAATCGAGGACATGACGTGGTCTGGCCCTGCCCGTCGTCCCTCGTCCTGTCCCCTATGCCCATGCTCATCACCTTCCGTCCTCGGTCTTTCGTCAGAGGGGCGAATAGTCAGGCTGTCCGCACCGCCCATCTGAGCCTTCTCCCTCTTCCCCTTCCTCCTTCCTCCTTCCTCCTTCCTCCTTCCTCCTTCCTCCTTCCTCCTTCCTCCTTCCTCTTCCTTCCCACTCCCTGTTTCCTCCTCCTTCTCCCCATGCTAAGTGTCGTTCTAAACGCCGCCCTTAGCGATGAGTGATGCAGATGTCCCGACGACCTGGAATGCGGAATGTGGAAGCCGAGACCCGTTGCACAAAGCAAAGGCAGGTACCGTCGCACAAAGGCGACAAGAGCGTCGAGATGTGCGATCGGGCCGGTACGGAGCTCGAGAGCTCGAGATGCTCGAGACGTGCGAGAGGCATGGGAGGCATGATAGTACGAAGATGTGCGCGATGGGTGATAAGAGCGCCGAGAGGTCGAGAGCTCGGAACGAGATGTGAGATCAGACCGGTACGCAGCTCGAGAGCTCGAGAGGCACGATTGCACGATAAGAAGACCGTGATAAGAGGGCGGAGAGCTCGGAGACGAGTGCGGGACGGAGCCAGGCGCGGCGGAGGGTAGAAGGAGTGGGTGGGTGGGGTATGGCTTGAAATGTTGTATACGGAGAACGCCAGTCTCTCGTTTCTCTTTTCTGCTTCTCCTCTTCGTGCTGCCCCTCGTCCCGCCCCGACTCCTTTTCGCAGTCTTCCCTTCACCATTGAAGATCGCTTCGAACCCGCACCCGCAATTTACACGGGCCAGCACTCTACACCGACCGCGCATCTAGGAGCCCCTTGGGCCCGGACGCACACGATCCGCACAATGTCGATCTGAGACGCCGCCCGACGCGAGACGGATCGCAAGATTGGGATACGGGGGCAGGACAGCAGTGACAGTCTATACCTGCTGTGGGAGCCTCTGAGGCGAAGGACACGAGTGAGAGCACCGGGGAAGGGAACCGGGGTCGAGCACGAGGGTTTTCTTTACGACGAACCGCGGAAGAGGCGAGGCAGAGGAGTGGGGCAAGCCGTGGGTCGGCTCGCTGGGGATTTTACGTGGTGTGCATACTGGACGGTGTGGCGGGCGGTCAGTGGTGGAACGTGGAGCGTACGGGCATAGGCTACGTACCTCGGACATATCGTAGGCAGAATACGATAAGCAGAGGCAGAAGTAGTGTCGCTGTCGGTGCAGATGGACGCCTGAAGGCACGCAGCGGAAGAAAGAGGGTGCTATGATGATGAATATATAGGTGCGCTCGTCGGCGCGATCCTGGCGTTTTCGCGCGCGTGTGAAGGTCGAGGATCCAGTTCACCGCCAACTGACTAGCGGCGTCACCGTAACGTCCAGGAGACCAGGGCCGAGCTCATTGTGCCGCAGGCGGTCCGCCATCGACACAGACACGGCTGCCACTGAAAGGGCGCGACGAATACTAACGAATACTTCAAGCTCGAAGACCTTCACCGATAGAGTACGGCTACGGCTGCTTGGAGACCTGGACGCGTCGACGTCGCGTGCTGCAGGTCAGTATTGCGATGGAGACAAGGATATAAGGACGAACCTATGGCTAGCTCTTTTTTTCCAGTGGCACATCCAGTCGACATCCTGCCCTCAAACTCGGCGCATGTAAGCAGTGTGTCTGCGAGATCCCCGTGATGCGAAGCATTTGTCGCCGTCGCACGTAACTGACAACTCGGAGTCCGACGTGACTATTGACTCTGGACTGACTTGAAGGAATTACAGCGAGCGTGGTGGGCCATAGCATTTTCCTATCAAAGAGCGCCTCCAGTCAATTCATTCGTTTCGTTCCTTCGCATTAAGATGTGGGAGCCTGCAGATTTTAGCTGGCTACGAGACTGAGGCTCAGGAGACAGACGTCGGGCAAACGGCCCGATTCAACCATGGCGTGACGTGACACCGTGACTCGGACGTTTTCGGCCGAGTCCGAGCTCGCCACCCCCAAAAAAATGTCCGAACCTTTAGCGATTTTGAATCCAGTGTTCAAGAATTCGGGCTATCGGCTGAGGCTCCTGGCTCAGTTCGGAGACTCGAACTGTGCGGAAATGATCATCCGCGGATTCCGTGTTCGAGAATCCAGTTCACTATTTACAAGACATCTTGTGAATCCAGCTTCTGCCTCAAATTTTTCCTGCCCCCGCGTGAACTTGAGAATTAATTTGGACGACGTACGCAAAAAAAGCCTCTATTTCTAGCGGTGCATGCGGACGCAGGGAGTCGAACCCTATCAACTGCTTCAATATACGCTTACAACCTCATGATCTATGGGCCACAGCTGTGCACCATGCACCACATCCGCTTTCCATGTTCCTTTCTGCCCTTTCTTACACTCAAAAGAATCCTTTGAACAGTGTGTCCGAAATTATTTCAAAACATTCAGGGGAAAGTTCTCATGCGGATGCCGGGAATCGAACCCGATCAGCTGCATTAATGACTAGGTACACCAACATTTTATGGACTGCAGCTGTGCACCATGCACCACATCCGCTTTCCCATCTCTTGCTTCCTCCTTACTTTGCGAAGGGAGAAAATTGAACTTGTTTCAAAAGGGTTGCCGAGGGGCACAATGCAGACGCCAGGAATCGAACCCAGTTAACTGCTTCAATATTCAATCTGAAAGCATCAAAATTATATGCTACAGCAGTGCACCATGCACCGCGTCCGCTTTCTCTGTTCCTTCATGCTTCATGTCCCTTCCTGGTTACAAAAGAATCCTTTGAACAGTGTGTCAGAAATTATTTCAAAAAATTCTGAGAAAATTCTCGTATGTATGTGGATGCCGGGAATCGAACCCGATCAGCTGCATTAACGGCTGCACCACCATTTGCATTTATGGACTGCAGCTGTGCACCATGCACTACATCCGCTTTCCCATCTCTTGCTTCCTCCTTATTTTGTGTGAGAAAAATTTGAACTTGTTTCAAAAAGGTTGCAGATGGTCAATGCGGACGCCGGGAATTGAACCTAGACCAGTGACTGGTCTGTCTATGAGGCAAGCCTGTCGATAGACAGACCAGTCGATCTGAGTTTGAATTAACAATGCAAATTAGTTACCATAAAAGGTTATTCCGGACCGCGTTTCCGAGTGAGTGACGTCAGAGCCAAACAACGGCAAAATAGATAAATTCTCACCTGGTAGACCCAAATCCTATTGGTTTGCCCTCGGATAAGCCGGAATAGGCTCCATTAAATGCTCCGAACACGCTGATGTAAAAATTTATTAAGATCTCCCACAGAAGAAGGAATACACCAATAACCTTTTTTGGTAACTATTTTGTATTGGTAATTCAAACTCAGATCGACCAGCCTGTCTATCGACAAGCTTGCTTTCATAGACAGGCTGGATTCGAGCCTAAATTGAACCCAGTTAACTGCTTCAATATTCAATCTAAAGAAATATCCGGCTGGCTCTAGAAAATCTTAATAAAATAAAAAGATGAGAACGTACACATGCTCATGCGGACGCCGGGAATCGAACCTGATCAGGTGCTTCAAACTGAACCACCAGTCACTGTGCACCATGCGCCACATCCGCTTCCCCATCTCTGGGTTCCTCCTTATTTTGTGAGACAAAAAATTGAACTTGTTTCAAAAAGGTCGCAGATAGTCAATGCGGACGCCGGGAATTGAACCCAGTCAACTGCTTCAATATTCAATCTAAAGAATAGGCTATATGCTACAGCTGTGCACCATGCACCACGTCCGCTTTTCCATCCTTTTCCTGCAGCTTGTATCTGAGAAAAATATTTTCAACTCGTTTCAAAAAGGTGCGCGACGCAGCATTTATGCGAACGCAGGGAGTCGAACCCTGTCGCTGCTTTAATCTCAATCATCAGAACCATGTAATACAGCTGTGCACCGTGCACCACTTCCGCTTTTCCATCTCCTTCCTGTGCTTTCTTCTGTGCGAGGGGGAAAAATCGAAACTGTTTCAAAAAGGTTGCCGAGGGCCACAATGCAGACACCAGGAATCGAACCCAGTCAACTGCTTCAATATTCAATCTAAAGAATCGGCTATATGCTACAGCTGTGCACCATGCACCACGTCCGCTTTCTCTTCCCCTTCCTGCCTCTTCCTGCATGCGAGAAAATATTTTCTGTTTCAACACCACTCTATGCCGACGCAGGGAGTCGAACCCTGGCTGTATGGCTACTTCAATGTCATACCTGTCACCATATTCAGTGCAGCTGTACATAGGCTCGAATCCAGCCTGTCTACGAAAGCAAAGCTTGTCGATAGACAGGCTGGTCGATCGGAGTTTGAATTCCCATAACGCGCGATCAATCTCCCAAAAAGGCTAATTTGTCAGCCAGCCACAGCGAAAAATTGCTGACAAATAGCCTTTTATGGTAGTGATTGCGCGTTATGGGAATTCAAACTCCGATCGACCGGTCTGTCTATCGACACTTTCATAGACAGACGGTCACCGGTCTAAGCTGTACATCATGCACCACATCCGCTTTCCCATCTCTTGCTTCCCCCCCCTGTGCGAGGAAAAAAATTGAACCTGTTTCAAAAGGGTCGAACATCTATTCTATGCAGACGCAGGGAATCGAACTTGTCAACTTCTTCAATTTCGAGCAGGGCTTCATATGAGTCGTAGCTGTGCTCCACGCACCACATCCGCTTTCTCTTCTCCTTCCTGTGCCTTTCTTTGTGCGAGAAAAATTTGAAGCTGTCAAAAAGGTTATGCAAATGATCCATGCGGACGCCGGGAGTCGAACCCAGCTGTTGGCTCCCTGAATTCCTTATCATAAGATTGCAGCCATGCACCATGCACCACGTCCGCTTCCTACCTATCCTTCCCTTGCTGCCATAAAATCCAATGCTCGTCAGTGTTTAGTAGCCGCCACAACACTAGCTGGCTTCCCAAGTCAAACGAATAGGAGTGAGAGAGAAAAATACAACCGACATCGAAAGTACAGCAGAGTACAACACCTTGGATTGCCAGAAGTAGTGAAGTCACAGCTGGAAGCACCCGTTAGGGTTTTATAATTACAAGCTTGCGGCACAGCCCATGCCGTAGATTGTGGGCTTGATCCGAAAACTGATGGAATCAAATGCCGAGCGGCATGTTGGTCCTTGTTTCCTAATGACAAAACTCAGCATAAAGCCTGGTTTGGGACTACTGGTCCTTGAAGACAGTCTCAATTGAAAGAGATGCTATCATTTGTGCTCGGAGCCACCGTGACTTCCGAGTCTTCACCCTGGTAAATGCGAAAGACAGTGAGGCTGGGATTCAGAGCGCTGATGACACGAGAATTGGAATTCTGAGCTTTATGATGTCAAGGTACAGAAATTCTGGGAATAAATAGGACCTTTTAAATCTTCACCTGGTTCAAGACAGTCACGAGCATAGAAGTGTGAATCATCGTCTGCTTCATACCCAAGCATCCATCTTGATTATAACTGAGATAGTTTTTCTTCAGAATATGAGAGAAGAAACTCGCTTCGACGAGGGTAAGCGGATGAGCCGAACTCAGTACGTTCAACTGACTGTTCTGCAGGAAATACTGATGTGGCATTGTTACAAGCTGAACACGAGTACGGCTGGGTACACAGATAAATACACGCAATAAGTAAGCCGAGATTGACCACCATGCAATCGATTTCACAAATGAAACAGAGACTAGAAGTCCTCCTTGAAAGACCAAAGTCAGATTCTCGACGGGAAATGTTAATGTGGTATGAGTGCCTACTTTATCCGTGCGCGAGCGGGCCATGTCCTGACTGTATGCAGTCTCCGACATTTGGTGCATACGAATGACCACATTAGGTATTCGGCCGGTAAGTGTCTTTGTCAAGAAGCAGCTATAAGTGAAGTCTCTTACGGAGTGCTGTTGGGCAGTCGAATCGAAGGCAACTACGCGGGACGTGCCGGCGGTTTGGCGGAATTGGGTTCGCCCATTTAGCCTAAAAAAAGAGGTGATTTAATGTGCCAAGAAAACTATCTGAGGTGCCGTGGCCATTGGCACTCACGAAGCGAGCATCGAGTTCGAGAATACTGTTGTTAACTTGTTAGTATGCAAGATGGCGACCAAATATACGACGGAGACGTACATTTCGCTTGGATCAGGAAAAAGACGAGCCAAGACACTGATCAGAAGATTAAACCTAGCGTACGATACGTCGGATATTGCTACCCACAATCGTGCCGCCGTGTTAGGAAAAGGATTAGCTGCAAAGCGCCCGATATACTGCCAGCGTTAAAAATCAGAGAAGAGCTGGTCGCACATATATAAATGTCCCTCACGTCGTAAGAAGTGTCGTTTCTGATAATATAATAAGATTGATGAGTCGTTTAGAAGTTTATTTATTGGTTTAAAATGTTGACTCTTACCGACAGTCCAGAGGATGATGGTGTCAACCATCCGGTTTGTCCTGTGAGCGGAATTAATTACATCTGCCCCGAGCTCAGTAACCCCACTCACTCTTTGAAATCGGTGCTCCTACGATGCCACAGATAATATACCAGGGACCCAGCGATAATGACTCTCGGGGGTTTGACTTTGCGTCGACCTACTGCTTCTGGGCCGAGTCCACGCAACTATCCTACCTCAATTCCTCATCTTTGTTTAAAGCTCTTGTCCTGTCTCAAAAACTCTTGACCATGAAATCCCCGCAAACTCAAAAAGGAACCATCGAGGTCTGTCTTCTGGTATAAACAAATTACTTAAAGCATTTTGACACCAGTTGGTCTTACTCTTCCATTTTCGTCCGAACTCCTTTCCCTCGGTCTTTCAAATGACTGAGAATTGTCTTTGTTCCCACTCCATCTGCTTCCATTCAATCTTTACTTGCGAGCAGAGGATCACATTAGAACCTTGTCAAACGCCCTCGAGACCCTTCCAAGTTCCGAATCAAGTAACGTCTTCATTCAAAGTGCATCCATGGGGCAGCCTTGTCTAACGTCTGCAAATACCAACATGCTGGCTGAGATACTCTCAAATCTCTAACGTTTTGCAAACTTTTCCTGTACATCTGATCCTTTTCATCGCGGTCGCTCCGGTGTGAATACAGTCCTCAGCTTTACAGCGAGGTATGAGTGTTTCTATAGAGCGACTGACTACGAGAGACTACCTCAGCTTGCTGAATGGCCCAAACATCAGATTGAAAGTCTTATATTCACTACTAGTTTGCCGCTCCGTTCTGACCCTCAGAATGGGTGGCTGTGCTGGTGGATGGCTGGGGTCAGAACGGAGCGGCAAACTAGTAAGTCAGTTCTAAAAACTGCACATTGAAACCTCAACGACGCCTTGAATGCAAATCCATGATTTCTTCGTTCAACTGCGCGCGCGCTTTCTGGTTTCACCATTCCAATCCCACACCTGCAAATTTCATGGCGCAACTATCCAGCAGGGAGTTTGCATGATCGTGATTTTCCAGACCCACAAGAGTACTGGTCAAAATGTGTGTGCTGTCCAACGAGGATCTGAGCTGTTCCTGTCTTGGGCTTCGAGGTGCTCTTTTTCCACATCTACTTCTCT